AGCGCCACAGCACTAGCGAAAATTTAAATTTGCCGACTGGAATTCTTTCGGATAATTGACGTTTCGGATGATTGACTTTCGGATAACTGATGCTCTACTGAATATATAACACAACTGTAATACAATGATAAGTATTTATGTATCTAAACTTATCTAAACATAGAAGAGATACAGACATCTATAAATTTTTCAGCTCCATTATAATATTATGGTAACTCCATTGTTAAGCAACACATACTTGTATTATTATATTTATCTCAGTTTTTACACTTGACCTCCATTACTTTAATTATAAACTTGAATTAGCTGTTACAAGTTATAGTGTATAATTTAAATTTTTTCACATTGCATAAATGGATTTCAACTTATGGTAGAGTTAAAACATAATTTATCTATTAGAATATCAATAATGTTTCCTTTACTTAATAATTTTAATTAACAATTTTGTACTTCGGGCTCCTCTATTGAGTCTTGTTTGTAATGTTACTGTATACATTAATGATATTTGATTGAGTCATATGAAAAAACAAACACTGTTTGAAAATAATTACTTCACAAATTTTGTTGAATGCTTACATATAGCATTAATATATAATGATGATGATGATCATAATATTTATCTTAAATTTATCTTTATCTCATCTTTAAATATTAATTAAATATTACAATTATATTTTAACTTTGTTCCAATATGCCTATTCTGTCTGTATACAAACTTTTAGCAGTGTTTTAGAGAAACAATTGAAAATAATTATATTATTTCTCATTTTGTATCGCTTATCATCATCTAATTCTTAGCTAAAAAAATTCAATATCTGAATGATAAAACAATGTTTATTTTATTTATATAACCATAAGTTATTGATAACTTTATATATAAACAGGTACTTAAGACAGCATTTGTTTTGGTTGACAAAACTTTTAGCACATAGAAAGACACGACATTATAATACTACGACTCTTCCAGGATCAAAAACCCACCAATCCGTATTGGCAGTTTTTGATTATTTTCTCGGGAATGATTATTTTTAATTCAGATTAACATTTGGCACATGATAACAAGGAAGAGATCAATACTTTCAGTTCAATAAATATCACAACAAATATGAAAAATATTAAGTAACAATAATAATAGATTATAACTTTATAATGACTATTAAAATATTCTATCTGATTTGACTTATGAGCCAACTCAAGTTTCTTTAAATGATAAAATGATATCTTGGGTCATTTCATCATTTAAACATCAGTTAACATTACATTTTACACAATGTATTAATATTATACAGGGTGTTCCCCTTGAATGTCCCTAGTTTTGTGGATTAATTTTGGAAAAAGAAGTGCGAGTATAATACCATAGACAATGGTAATAAAAACATTAAATCGCATTACTACATTAAACAGTACATTTCCACACATGCTCTTGACATATATCCAATCGGCACTTAATTTTTGCCCGCATCTGAGGTAGTATGTCAGGAGTCATGCCATTACAGGCATTTGTAATCTTTGTATGTGGTGCTCTCATGTCTAGCACTTTTGTAGCATACACAAGATCCTTGACATGCCCATAAAGAAAAAACTTCAAAGATGATGTCATGTGATCGGGTGGACCAAGAAATAAGGCCCCATAATCTAGACTAAGCAGCAGCAACCCATTCAAGTATATGCATGTGAAATTTGGAGTATTGACCCATTCTCTAACACATTTTATTCACATATATGAACAAATGGATTTTACAAAACAGTTTAAACTAGGGAAATTGAGGGAGACACACTGTATATATAACATATACTGTATATAACTATAGGGAATCAGACTGATGCATTATTATATTTATCCTTAGAAGTAATGTCTGAAATATTTCAGAAATACTGATAATCAGTCACTTCAATTAGTAAGCTATACAAACTTAAATTATGTAAGGATATTCATTGGAGATGCATCATTTTTTACCTTAGTTTCCATTAAAAATTATAATTGTTGTATGTTATAATTAAGTTAGATGGTTTTTAAAATATCTGATTAGTACAACTTTGAGATAAAAATACTTCAATATATTAAAATATCAATTTACACGCATGTACAGTTATTAAGTAAAAATATATTACAAATAGAATTTGTACTGTTTGTAAAGATAAACATCTTTTGCTTTTTTTTAGAGTAAATATTTAATAAAAACTAAATATACTTATTAAAATTTTTGTCCGAAAGGCTAAAACTAATTTTTATAAAAATTATTATTATTTTTTTTTTTCAATTATTTATTTACCTTTAAGGTTATTAGTTACAACTGGCCTAATTTTTTCAAGCTTAATATTAGAAATATTCTGAGGTCTATTCCTGACAGTGTCGCGTGTTGATTTCACCTCACCTTCATTTTTGGTTTGTAATCTGTTTAGTAAATTTCTTCCCGGCGCTTTTGCCAGTTGAAGACGCAAGCTCTTTATTTCTTGGCTAAAAAAAAAAATCAAATTACTGTTTTAAAAATTCATTATTGCTTGAAGTCAATTAAATTTTACAATAATTGTATTTGAAAACATTTGAATATTGCATTGATATAATTCAATTTACAACAGAAAACAAAAGATTTTGGATTAAAGGTGAGCATATATATAATTAATTTCTGGATTCTACCAAATGTAGACAAATGCATAAAACTGAACCAATGAAAAAAAAAGCAATCCATGAGAGAGAGAAGTTAAACAGCAGTTAAAATTTTAAATAATAAGAAAATGCTACTCAGACAATAAGAAAATACAACTTCAAATTTCTAATATTGTTAGTTTTTTTTCTGTAAACAATTTCATAAAGTTCTTTAATTTTTCTAAAATTTACAGGTTATTTCATTTGATCTGTTAATGGAATCAGAATCCAATTTATTAGTGAAATTCTATTTGATGGTCTGAATAGTTATAGCTAACAAAATACACTTACTTCTAATGGAAAATCTAAAGCAGCGATTCCCAAAGTGGGCACTACGGCTCCCTCGAGAGCAGTAGAAGACCCAAGGAGGTGCTAAAGGGTAAGAAGCAGTTGGTGGTGTTGGAAGAGAAGGGGAACAAAAATTCATTTAAAACAAAGAAAAGTAACAATATATTAGAAATGTATGCACCAAATGGGGCAAGAGTTTGAGAAGTTTGAGAAACACAGATCTAAAGAATAACAAGTTCAAACAGCATCCAACAGTTTTAAACATTTAAACTATGTTGGTGTTGATTTAAGTGCACATTCTTGCTTAAAAATATTATTTTTAACCTATTTAATAAACGTTTTGATTTAATATAATAAAACATTTTATTAAAATCAACTTATACCATATGTTTATATTAACTGCAATTTGTATCAGCAAAACAGTTCTTGATCATACAGTTAAATAGAATCAATCTATTAATTAAGAATCTCTGTACGTCATGCAATCATTGCCATAACAAGACTAGGGCAAATGGGACATTAATCTGGATGTAGCAATTCTAAAGGCACAAAATGTTTGAGAATGAAAATTGATTTCATATTCTAAACTTTATATATTTAAGGTCATTAAAATAGTGTTTATTATTGGGTACATTCCATTATGCATCAAACAGCATATCTGTGAACTGCAACATATTAAAATGCATTCAGATATTCATCAATGCAGAAACCAATGCACATGATACTTATCAGGATGTGGATACAGCAAGCTTTGATGAAACAATATGACTGTTTTCACAATTATATTAACACCATTCTTACTACTCGTCTGTAGTAATCTAAAGTTTTTTGACAAAATAAGTCTGCAAGTGCCAATATAGTGCCATTTACTTCTGCCATTTTACTAGGTTGCTAGATGTTCTGGTAAAAGCTTATTAAACCATTCTGGTGCATCAGTTGTGGCTGAAACTGATGCATATTGGAATGTACCCGTTGTTTTGGAGATACGCAATACTAGTTTGTCCCAAGTGCATAAAACCTTAGTTATGGAGTTTTGCAAAAAATTTAAATTTATAAGAAAATTCTTACTCTTTTTCTTTCAGTTGATTCATAAGTTTTTTATTTCCTTCTTGTAATTTGTTTATTATATCTTTCAATCTCAAAATTTCTGAATTTAAAGTTTTCTCTTTCCAATTTGTTTTCCCTGATAAAAAAGTTAAACTTTTAACTTTTAAAAATTCTTATGATAATAAATAATAGTTTATTACTTACCATTAATTTGAGATGGTTTAACTTCATTTTCATTCTGTTTATTTTTCAGAGAGAATCTAAAATTTGTAGAAATTTTCTGAAACAATTTATATATACAATTAACCGATAATATTGTTTGGTAAATTAACCTGGCAGTGATCATATACAAATAATAATAACTAATCATTTGGGTCATATTGCTTTAAGAAATTACTGTTTGTTCTTTTTAATTTCCAATCAAATATTTTTAATTTGTTTAACAGGCCAGAAATCTTCTATCCTTAATTCCTAAATATCCTTTCCATGATATTTTTCATGTAAGAAGAAAAATAATTAATTATACCAATAAAATCACTGCATCACATCACTTATTTTTCAAATTGTTTCTATAATAATAGATGCACTAATATGGACTAATACAGGATGTCTGAACAGTTACTGTGCAGTGAGAAATTTGTAGAGACATTGTGTGACAGCATTGCATGTGAGAACTTTAACTCATACATTCCGCATTTCCACTCATACTTTGCAGTAGATGGCATAACTGCTCATTCATGGACATTCTGCTTTTTGGACTACAGTTTTTGTGGAAGACTGCTTTGCAGATTACATAATCTGCCACAGAATCCAGACCACTAGTTCTCCATACATCGCTCCCCAGATTTTGGCAAGTGAGATCCAAGTTTATAGCAATTGCCATACGAGAAACTGCAATATCATAAGTAAAACTTCATTTTTATTAAAACATTGCTGAAATTTTTCTGCAATATTTTAATAAATGTGTTTAACTGCACGGTAACTTTTTGGACATCCCATATTAATTATTTATTGTAAAACAATTTGAAAAAATCATTTAAAATTAATAAATAGCAAACTGCTTTTTTTCAGATTGCAAGAAAAACATTTTAAATTTAAAACATTTCAAGCAATAAAAATAATTTATTTGGATTCAATTAACGAGAGTGATCACTGCTGGGTTAACTAGCATGTAATCTGTTATTATGTAAAAAAATATTTAATAATTTTTAAATAAAGTTCTCAAAGCTATTATGATGCTTTTCTGTCTCAAAATTCTTTGAAAGTGTTTCAGAATATGATGCATATTTAAATTAAAAAAGGAAACACTGTTATATATACAGTAAAACTCCAGTTATCTGAATTAATTGGGACTTTGGTCATTCAGATATACAGTATATCTGGATAATTGAATTTTTGCTTAAAATAGTCACTTTTTGTATCAAAACACTCCATTATGTGCAGTACAGTTTTCGAAATTGAAAATAAATAATTTAATGATAAGTGAAATCAATGGAAAATAACAAATAATCAAGATAAGAAGTAGCAAATGATTTAATTATTAAAAAATACATAAACTTAATCAAATATAAACATCCAAACATGATAGTTATATAGTAAAACAATTGTTAAGGTGCGATCTCTTGCTAAATTTAATATAATTAAATTAATATGTGAGGATCCGAATTCGGACTTTTCGTGTGTTTATATCATTTCACATTGTAGCTATACTTTCATTCAATAACTGTCAACTTTTACACCTGGGAGCTAAACATCTGCTAAGTTCTCAGGCTTAATAACGACGCTTTCTCAGCACCTTTCGACCTAATATCTCCGTTTCAACAATCCAACATGAAAAACAGACAACAAAGTGGGGGAGTTGTCACCAGTTTTTCTATCGGACCACTCGAGTTTTCCCTGTGCCTCGCGTTTGGATATTTCCTCGCCTGTGGATATTTCTTCGCCTAATAACTGTGGAAATAAGAACTGTCTTCTGTCTTCTGAGTCCAGAACTGTCTTCTTTTGGGATTTCATACAAGGTAATTATCGACACGCGAACTTCTGTAAACTCTCTCTCTCAAATCGGGTCATATCTTAATATCTAATACTTATCAAATCAAGAAATGTATCTAACAGCAGCCCTAATGTATAGCCTATCGTTAACCATTAAACAGTTGTTACGTTAAAGCGTCTATGAGTAGGTCACTTCCAGTGCGCTGTCTCTCCTTCTATCTCGACTCTGATCGCTCACACACGCAACCGCTCGCATGAGAACACAACGGTTTCTGTGTCTAGCCGTGAAAACACAGTGGTGTCAGTCCTGACGAAACTTGTCATTGCGATATTCACTGATGCGATGTCGACCCTTCGATCACGTGGTGCCAAAGAATAGGGAGGCCCTTCGACATTGTCACAAATATTTTAATAATTAATTTAGAAGGTTCTGGAAGAAAAGAATCAGCTTGAAGCAGGTCTCAAACCCACAACTCCTGCAAACTGTGCAGTCACATTGCCAGTTACTATAGCAGGACCTTTGTCAATCCTCGCTTCCTGAACTTATTATCAATAATTTAGA